ATTAGGGAGCGACTGCGCGGCACTCCGCCACAGGGTGGCCTCAAGTCGAAGGGCGCCCTGCTGCTGGAGCTGGCTCGCGAGCTGCGCGACTTGCGCGACGAGCTAGAGGACAAGCGCTATGGTAAGTCTGCTGTCGGCTGAAGCTAGTCCTTTCTCTATTCATTTCCCCGACAGTCTCCACAGATCGCGAGAGCTCCGAGCAGAAGAAAAGCGATGCGGCGGCAGCGACCAGCGCCGCAGATGCCCACAAGTCACAGCAGCGACCCTCGCTAATATCCATTTTCACGGGCACCACCACCGGCCAGGCGACCCACTCGCATGTATCCGCCGTGCCCATCGATTCGCGCAGCGGATCTGGCGGCATTTGCACGCCCAGTGATACGCTCTCCCAGCAAACTCTGCATCCGCCACGTGAGTCTCTGTCCAGCAGCTCCACCGGTCGGGATCCACATACCACAACTAGCGAGAGCCAGAGTGGTGAGGGCGCTGCTGGCTCGGCGCCCACACTGGTGGGTCAACCCACAGGCAGTGGACCCAGTGGCAGCTCAGCCCTGCCGCCGGGCATTGCCTCTCAACTTTCGCACTCGCAGTCACTGCAGCAGGCGCCTTTCAAGGCGCAGCCACCCAAATTGCGATTTGTCTCATCCGTTGAGTTTCGACACTCCTCGGGGGAGACCTCGACGACGCCGCTATCACCAGAAAGTCCAGCAGAGGATAGCTCGGGCGATCACACGCGTTCGCGTCTGCAACGCTCCAAGGCGGCCAGCCGCAAAACATTCCGCCTGAAGCGCAGTCGCCTCACTCCAATGGAACCGCCCAGCATCGTAAGCAATTTCTCTCTCTCCCTCTCTCTGTCTTTCTGCGGATCTAATCGTTATATCCGACAGGTTACCTCACTCTCTCAGGAACAGGAACAGCAGACGAAAGCCATTGGCGAAATATCCTGGGACTCGGTCTCACAGACATCATCGACATCGGGTTATCGGGATAACAATAGCCTCCAGACGGGTCTACTGTCGCCGGACGGTTCGCTGGGCGGCCTGACCCTGGGCCGTTCACCCTCGCAGCACTCGCTGCTGATGGTATTCGAAGGTCAGGACGAGGACACGCTCATTTAACAATCACAGAACGGCGACCGAGCCTACGAGCTTTAGGGACAGCCTCAATACAGTAACCTAATTCAACTTAGCTAGCCTTAATATAAATAATGCATACGAAATTAGTCGACAAATTAATTAACAAAGTTATTGTTAAGTTTCCTAGATACATATACATAATTAAGACTAGTTCTTGTTCCATTGTGTGCCCAGATTTTATATGTTTTTGTAGATGAACTAGGATTAAATAAACTAACTTGGTAGCCGTTCGAAAAATTTTAAGATTTCTTTCAAGCGGAAAGAGAGAACAGGGAATACTCTTTGCGCTGAACAGCGAGAATCCAATACACATGATTGTTCATTATGTTCTTAGCATTTGAATATATTGAATATGACTTGTAAGATACGAGCATAACTATGACAATGGAGATGCAACGAACAATGAATTCTAATAGGGGATTCTTTAAAAAATTATAAAAGAAAACTTTGTAGACAACTCAATCTAAGGACGACTAACTATCGACTATTTTGGCTGCTGTAGCCGCCTTTTGGCGATTCTCCTTGACCAACTTACGCCACTCCAACCACTTGGCCAACTCGGTCTGTTCGCTGATGTTGCTGCTGCTGCTGGCTTGCTGCTCCAGYTGCATGTAGTAGGCTTCGCGCAATATCTTGAAGGCCTGAATGCTATAGTATGGCTGTTGGGTGACGGGATCGAAGTACCGTGCCGGCAGTCGAGTGATGGGACAAATGCCGCACGAGTGCTTCGGTGGTCGTTTCGGACGGAAGATCGCATTGAAAGCCTTATCATTGAAATCATTTTCAAAGGTTACGAACGTGCGTTCACAGCGGCCAGTCGACTCATTCGGTTGGCCTGTTCGCGTGGGCATATTGCGAATGACGGGCATGGTCAATGAATGATAGCGTATCGTTGGACCAACGAAAACTCTCTTAGTGGGCCGTGTCTTCTTCTTCTCCAGCTCCATTTTTTGGAATTTCTCTGCAAGTATTTGGAAATACAGTTAAAGTACTATGCAGTTAACATTGGTTTATTAACAAACCCAAAGATTTTATATTCTCTTCCTCTGTTACTTTTGCCTCCGCAAGCAACTCTTCCTGTGTGGGCATATAGTCCTCTACGCGCACCTTCTTTTTCTTGCGCTTGCGTGCATCGTCTAGTTCTTTTAGACGTATCTTTGTAGCCTGTGTTTTAATGGCCGTGGAGGTGCGTATCGACTTCCGCCCGGAGTCCAGAACCGTAAAGCGCGGACGCACTCTACGTTTGATCACGCCGCCAGCGCCCCGTTTCTTGTGCAGCGTAGCGCCAGCTTTAGTTTCCTTCTTGGCAAGCGGCTTTGCTGGCTCCTAGGTGAGATATTAATATTATATGCAAATTTATTGTACATTGGTACTTGCTTTATAGGCTTTTGTGACGACGCCTCCGCGTTTCCGTTTCTTTTCTGGCGCCTCCTCTTGATCGGATACGGGCTCATCCTGTTCGTCTATGCTGAAGTCTGAGTCAACAACATCCTCCTCCTCGTCTTTTTGGCTTTAACAACGAAATGCATATCAATATTTTACTACATATAACATTTAACATTAATACACTTACACATATTCCTTGTCGTCTTCTTCATCCTGAAAGCCGCCATAGGAGGTTTTGTAAAATTCATCCTCCTCTTCATCAAGCAGCTTGGCTATTTTATTGCCTGCATTGTGGCGACGCGAGCGCTCAGCAGCCATTTATTAATAATATATATTTTTATTTAATTCTTTTATTTTACTCAAACTTTTCAATTGTAAACAAACACATTTGATGATTTTCTGCTTCTTGCCAGTAGTATTTTCTCAGAGAATGCCATTCACACAAAACTGAAAAGTGGCAACGCTGGCAAATTTTATTTTCTGTATTTTAATACGATATACATATGTGTAAATTTATTATTTTTTATCATTAAATAGCAAAAGTTGAGTTACTAATGGCCCAAAATAATATAGAAACAATATATAATGCAATAATTAACACTATGCATATAAATACTTGTACATTGAAAGCGCATTCAAAAGTTGCCTTATGCCGAACATTTGACTCTTTACTCTCCCTACAATATGACGTCTCGTCGATCTTATTGCACTTTGGACTTTCTCTTGTACATATGTTGATTGGCCGCGATTTACACAGTTTTCAGTTCATATAGATCAGAGTCTTTGCAGCGAGCGGTTTAAACTAGGCCACACAATGATTAATACTGGAAAATTGGCAGGACGAACCTTGTTCATCACCGGCGCCTCTAGGGGCATTGGCAAGGCAATCGCACTGAAGGCGGCTCGCGATGGTGCCAACATTGTGGTTGCTGCCAAGACAGCCGAGCCGCATCCCAAGCTGCCGGGCACGATTTACACAGCCGCCGATGAGATCGAAAAGGCTGGCGGACGTGCCTTTCCCTGTGTTGTGGATGTGCGCGATGAGCAACAGGTGCGCACCGCCGTCCAGCAAGCTGCGGCCAAATTCGGTGGCATCGATATCGTTGTGAACAATGCCAGCGCCATTTCGTTGACCAACACACCGGACACTGAAATGAAACGCTACGATCTGATGCACAGCATCAACACGCGCGGCACATTCCTGGTGTCCAAAGAGTGCCTGCCCTACCTGGAGAAGAGCAATCATGCTCACATCTTAAACATCTCGCCGCCGCTGAGCATGAAGGCAAAATGGTTTGGCCCCCATGTCGCCTACACGATGGCCAAGTACGGCATGTCCATGTGCGTGCTGGGAATGGCGGCGGAGTTCAAGGATCGCGGCATAGCCGTGAACGCCCTTTGGCCGCGCACGGCCATCCATACGGCTGCCATTGAGATGCTGACTGGTCCCGACAGCGCCAGTTGGTCGCGCAAGCCAGAGATTATGGCCGATGCGGCTTATGCCATACTCTCCCGGGAACCCAAGCAGTTCACCGGCCAGTTCTTCATTGACGATGAGGTACTCGAATCTGTGGGCGTCAAGGATCTCACGGACTATGCATGTGTTCGTGAAAATGCAGACAACCTAATGGTTGACTTTTTCGTGGAGGCCAAGGGTGCGCCAGCTGACAGTGCAACAGCGCCTGAGCCTGCTGCAGCTGCACCTGCGCCTGCCACTGCTGACACTGGCGACGACAGAATACCGCAGCTTTTTAAGAAAATTGAATCTCTGCTATCTCCTGAAATCGTCGGCAAAACGCAGGCCGTATACCAGTTCAACATCAGCGGCGATAGGCAGAGCACCTGGTTTCTGGACTTGAAGAATGGTTCCGGTGCCTGCGGTAATGGCACCCCGCCAGGTACCCCGGACGCAACGCTATCCATGAACTCGAACAATTTCTTTGACATGTTCTCGGGAAAATTGAAGGCGGCACCAGCGTACATGTCAGGAAAGCTGAAGATTAGCGGAGATTTCCAAAAGGCTCTCAAATTGGAGAAACTGATGAAGGCGCTCAAGTCCAAGTTATAGATCATAAGCTTCCATAAATTTATAAAAATCGCTCTAAAATAAAGACTTCAAAATATTTACAATTTTTGTCGGCTTGAAAAATTAGCATTAAAAATACAGATCTATTACAGCTTATAAGTAAGCCAGCAAAGAGAATGCATGTATGTATGGTTATAAAAATGTTCAGAAGAGCCTTCTCAATATTTGAGTTACCCCAATAGAAATAGAGTACGATTGTTTTCTTCTTCACTGTACCAATATGTATCTATTTGGGTAAACGATTGCTATCGATAGTTTACAGGTAATATACCATCCCTACCTTATCAGCTAACAGATGGCTGTTTTGGCTGTTTTGGTTCGATTGAGCAGCTATCCTTATATTTTTGTAGATTGCCGGCCAATATGTCGGTGAACGTCGATGGAGCAGCATAACATAGAATAATATATATATGTATATAGATATAAATATTACTATTACTCATACGCATCATGGCTTCGTCATCAAACAAGGTACTTTCCATACGGCGTTATCGCATAGAAGTTCAATACTAATTCAATATTCGCAATACCTAGAGCAAAACGGCGCAGCTGATTAGGTGCTTCTGCGGCTGCTCGGAGATGAGCGTTGAGGAAGTGCGTCGCATTTACACGCTCACAAATAGCATGCATCAGACGCTGCTAGATCGGCAGGCTGCAAAACTCTTTCGACGCTACCTGGAGACGCAACGAGCGGGCGACAAAGGCGAAGCGGAACAGTACCTGGATGTCTACGAGAAGTGCGCTGAGTTCTTACAGGAGGAGCAACGGACATTTACATTAGATCATATCGAGGAGTTGCGGGATCTGGGCCTGGCCTATCATCACGAGAGTGATCTGATGCGGCGCACACGCGGCGGCCAGGATTCTGACATCAAAAGTGGTCTCAATCGCATTCAAGGCGATTGTCTGAATGAAATTGAAGCGAGCAGCGACTTCAAGGAATTTCGAAGCGCAATACTAAAAAAAATGCAGAGAATACGTAACTAATGCATAGGCGCTGATTGCTGATCAATGCCAAAGCACAGGTGCTGCCTTATGCCTTAACATTTTTGAATATAACACTAATTGTAAACAAATTGAAATGTTTAAGTCAACCACACTCTGCCTCAGCCGCAGCCCCAATTAGAGCCCAGCGAAGCACATTAGTCACATTCATTAGCAACGCATCCGTGAGACGGTTAGCAGTCATAGCATAGCTAAATATTATCTACATTTTAAGCGTTCCTCACCAATGTATTCTTACAATTATTTTTATCTACGTCAATGCTCTGTATGTATGTACATTCACACATTTACAAACGTCCAATTACGCAAAGAATAATTCGCTTGTTCTTATCATAAGGCAACCTTTAATCACTGTCCAAGCGCCTTGGCTCTGATTACTTGACAACCTGATCCGGTTCTACAATATTCCTCCAACGTACAGGGATAGGCTCTGACTTATGGAACCATATTTTGGATATGTTTTATATGCAATCATAATAACGAAAATTGATCTGTGGTTTCTACATACATCATCGAGAATTTGATGGTGTACTTCTATACATATATATTCTTGTTGAGCACATAGATGATAAAACTAAACATGTATACATTGAAATATTATATATACGAGTATATATATGTTGAATGCTTAATAACTAAAATGCATTTAACTAGGTAAGGTAACGCTTTAGGTCTTCTTCCATGAGTAATACATTTCCATGGGTTTGTTCACCTGTCAAATTGAAATGAAGCTTGGATTAGTTTATAGTATATACTTTCGGTATATTATAGAATTTACCTTCCAGAATTTGTCGTTGACCTGATGCAGCGTCTGATTGCCATTCAAGATGACCAACTGCTGCGGCTGCGGTGCCACGTAGATGCAAAAGTTGAGCAGGCGACAGGCCTCTGGCAGATCGGCGCCCAGGTCGAGGGTCAGGCGTATCGCTAGATACTTGCTGAGATGGTCCACCGTGGCGTTCGCTGTTGTCTTGATGTACCTTACACAGTTGTCTTTGAGTGCACGGATCAGCTGATTATCAGGGGACATTTCTGTGGGATGGGGCTTGAAGACTAGCTCGATTTCATCATTGATGCCCAGTTCGCCGTTGCCCTCTCCCTCGGTATCGATATTCGAGTCACCCTCGGTGCGGCAATCCATTTGTGAGTCCGATTCTGATTCCTCCGAACGCTCCGACGTCATCACCGACATCGCACGCTTCGGCTTCGTGCTGCTCGAATTCGACGGGACCGGAGAAGGAGTGCTACGCACCGAAGGAGGATTTGATGCATCATCCACTTGCATGCGATTCGATGAGGTGCTAGCGCCTGATGTGCCCGCCTGGGTGGTGGTGGTGGTGTTAGTGGCGTTGCTGCTACTGCTGCTGCTGCTGACGGGCGTTGTAGTAGCTGTTGCGGCTGGCGCAGCGGGTGCAGCAGCTCCAGTCGCTCCACTGGTGTCCCGGGATTCACGCTCGTTACCGTTCGTATTGCTGTTGCTGTCATTGGAGGCCGTATCGTGAGCATTCACACCACGATTAGAATTGCTGGCGTTCCCACCTCCATTGTTGTTGGCAGCAGCACCACCCCCGCCTCCACCCTTGTTGGTGCGAAAGCGTTGCGGCCGATTCTGCGACTGCAGCTTGATGCCCTCGTTGATGGAGTTCACGAGCGCCTTTTGAGATTGCGTTGGATTGAATTTGGCCATGATTTTCTCCTGCGAGGCTTCGTACTCCTCGCGACTGGGATAGATCTTCGAGATGAGTAAGTCAAAGTTGGGATCGGCGCGCAACGAACGCTTGGACACAAGTTTTTTGCGGCAAGTGGGACACTCCTTGTTGCCGGATCGCAATGCGGTCACAATACAATCCGAGCAGAACCGATGCAAGCACTCCTTGGTGGTCATCGTTTTCTTGAGCATGTCCAAGCAAATGGGGCACATTAATTCGCTGTGTAGGCTGCGCGGAGATACAGCTATTTCTGTGCTGTCTGTGATTATTTCTTGCGGCTTGCGCTGCAGCTCATATAGGGATAGATCCCATGTTTTATTTTGCGTTGGTTCCAGCGAGGCCATCCTCTTCTATTCACTTCAATGTCTTTAACTTTTCGTTTTCACACAAATTTTCACTTTACTTTGCGTTTATTCGATATCTGTGTTGCTTAGCGTTTGTTTACCATCGAAGAGATGTTATCGAATAAATTGAAATATGCGATACTATCGAAACAAAATCATGATATGGCAACACTGCAAGTTGTTAAAAAGATGTGTGTATGTATTCATATGTATGTGTATGTTTGCATGTGTGCAGATTCTGGATCTGCTGCACTGCATATTCTGGGAGTTTTCTTTAAAGCTAATTGCATAGCTTTCATATCCAAACACAATTTGACAATACGTCAACACTCCAACTGCAGCCATGCTTGATTGACAGGCGTCACTCAAGTGCGCCGCATTCTTTAAAACATTTGACAGAATCGCGCCAAATATGGCTTAAATATCGCATAGCCGTTAACTGAATTGCAGTCGCCTGGAATTTGTGCCAATTGCCAAATTGATGCACTACTTGCTGGTGTCTCATAGCTCGCATACTTCAGACACTTCTCTCCAGCCATGCCAAGGCATAGTCGCTGCGTCAGTCTGACTTTCCTTCAACTCAAATGCCTGTCACTTTAGACAATGGCTATGCATGCGTTCAAAGCCCAAGTGACGTAGCAGTTAGCTAATGTGCATATGCAATACATACATACATATATATACATACAGTGTAAGAAATATGGGTAGCAATTTGTAATTAATTGTTCAATAGCTCGAGTTTAATATTTTGGTTATTATTATTATATTCGAGTTTCTTTAATTTCCTTTGTCAACATTTTTAACGAAAATTATTTACCTCAATTTAGGAAAATAAAAAATAATAATTTACTAAAAATGTTTTATTGGCTATGGCATTATTTCAAGTGTATGTGAGGCGCCACATTGCTGGACATTTAAGCGCGTGACAAGTAAAGACATTTGTCAACTGGCATGGCCAAATGCTGGCTAATGCCAAGGCCCGCATTGCACCTTTTAACTGCCTCATTAGGGGCATAGCTAATGAGCGGTACGTGTAGGCGTGCCTACAAATTTTCACCATCACCATCATCATCGTTATCATCATCATCATCATCAACAACAGCATCCCGAACATTATCCATTTATCGAGACTCGCTGACTCTCGACACCAATTGAACCATTGCACCCACACGACGCTTGAGGATCAGTGCTCTGTCCTCGATTCCAGCTGTGGCACAGGTTCATGACCCAAATGTTGACCAAATGCCAGCGCTTCCTACTTTCAACTTGAAGCAGCGAGAGAGACGTCGGTTCTAGCATTCCCAAGCTGAGTTTGCGTTTTATTGACATTAATCATTGACAGCCTCTTGTTAAAATTTGCAACTAAACTCTTGGAACTCCATTGAAAGGTGCATGGCTTAAGTACCCTGTGAACAATGCATCATCGGCTATGATTGACGTAACATAGCGGAATAAGTCTTTTGTTGTTCTACAAACTGTTTATATGTAATGGCATATTCTAGTGTGAGTGTGTGTACAGGGTATCCTTTGTAGAGCATGTTCAAAGCTTAGCTGCACTCTTAGCATTAGCTTTGATCTATTAGTAACTATTTAATCTACTATACGAGCTAGTTACATGCTTTAACTCACAACTGTGTACAAAGGGCATCTTCAGGTCCAGCATTCTTGCAGAATAGCTAGAACTCATTCTTGGCTGTGTATTTTATGTCTTATTTATGGCTAGTTGTTAATGACAATGCATGACGTTCGTCTTTGGTCAACTGGGCACTCGAAAATGCATAAAATAGCCTTTTCTTTCTTTTTCTCTTCTTCTTCCTCTTCCTTTCTCGAATGCTCGAATGCGACTTTTCTACTTTTCCACTTTTATACTCCCTAAATCTTCTAGGAAGGGGATTTTTTCTTTTTTTGTCTATTCTGCGACTCAATCATTCGGCGCAAGACCGGAAGCATGCAAACTTTTTGCTTTCTCGTCTAGATTTTTTCGGGGTTTTGGTTTTGTTTTGGCTGTGCGTTGTCTGCGCCATTTTGTTTATTTTTTGTCGATTCTTTCGCCATGCACTGTTAAGGTAGTCAGAAAGGAGTATATCGGTTTGCTTATTGACGAACTGCTTGAAATAGAGTCTTCAAAGTAAAAGTCGGACTATCATTATATGAAATTTGTAATGATGCTCTAGAGATTTACTTTTATATTATGTCGATATCTATAGTTTTTTTCAAAATTTAAATTTATCAAATTGTTTACCAAAGAAGTTACATTAAAGCTGAGCTAATGGGATATCGATATCTATTTGATTTCTTAATTTTTCCATCATTAAACGAATATTGGGCAGCCATTTATGCCCGGCAAAAATGTTCGCACTCTAGTTTTCCTTTTCGATGTCTGCGCCATTTTTGGTTCAAGTGAAAGTTTTGGCTTGGATTTGAAGTTCGCCATTTGAAAATTTGCGAATTCATAATTGAGCAAAACCAGCGTAAAAGCGTCCGAGCCAAAGCAATTTGTTGAGGTTGTTGTTGAAATTGCAGAGTGCGCAGCAAGAGTCTAGAGTGGGCCACCACATGGCACTTAACCTTAGTCGCAGGCTAAATCCTTAGCCTCCGTTCCAATTCAATTCAATTGAATTTCTGTGCGAATGCAACTGTAGTGCATTCCAGGCTAGCGACAGTGAGCCAGACAGACAGACAGACATACAATTGGCATGTCAGCGGCAGAGACGGTCTCATAGCGGCACCCACCCGTACACAGATGCACACATACACACACAGGGGCGCATACATATGCAGCTGCTCGAGCACTTGGCCAACAATTTGACAATAACGAGCTGGGCGAACTGCCCGCCCAATTTTCAAACCAAACCTGAAGCTGAAAAGCTTGCCACCACAGAACAATAATAATAGCAACAACCACATAACAAGCAGCCTCACACACTGAGGCAAGAGCGCTGCACGACTAGAGAATACCCAGCACTTCAGATGAGCTGTGTGCGTTAGAGACAGGGTATGTTTCAGTTGTCCATTTCAAGATTTTTGACCTATATCTTTTATCTAGTGTACGTAAGAATATAATTATGGTTTGCTATAGGCTGGAGGGGCATTTCGGATACATATTTCTAAAATAGAATCAACATTTAATTTTGTAGGAGCTCCTAGAGCTGTGTTTATATATCCAAATTTTTATAGCTAGAAACGATATAGTAATTTATATAGGTCATATAAATTCATAGAATCATTAGATAAACCTTGAATATATATATATTTTTTATGTTATAATTGTAATGAATTTTGGAATGCGAAAATTGTGTTTAATTATTAATTATAATATATACTTTTAATGCTTAAACATTTTATTGTTGTTTTTATCCCCTATAAACAATATATAATCGACATCCATTCAAAGGGTATACAGGGTATATAACAATTGCACTTTTCAATTGTTTAGCCCGTTGTCCAAATATTGCCAGGTCGAGTGAACCTCAGCGCGTGTTTGGCTCATTATTATGAAGCGCTCTGTGCCTTTGTCTTCCACTGGAGGGCTTTACTTTTGGCGAGGCCATAAATAAATCTCAATTAAAGTGCAACCCCTCTCTTATTTTTCATGGAAAGGGTATTATAAATTTGTCACGAGGTAGACAGCTCTGAAACTTTGTACTCAGGGAAAAGTGGCAAAAACTTGCAGACTTTGACTTAGTATAGAAAACAAACAATTAAAAATAATACATATTAAAAAAAAAAAAAAAGAATTGACTTTTGTTAGTTCGACAATTGCTTTGACTACCCTCGTATACAGATATTTATAAGAGTATTTAATTTTCGCCAGGCGACCCGCAGCTAACTGTGCTTGCGGTGTTTTTGTTTTTTGTTTTTTTTTTTTTTCGGATAGAGGGCGTGTTTGTGCGAGATAACAATCAATCAGCGACCAAGCGAGTGAGTGGCATGGCATGAGTAGCAGTAGCAGCAGGACTCAATCTCCGGCTGCTAGGCTGCTGTCCAGAGAGTTTGTCCCACGTTCACACCACGCCCGCCCGTTCCAAAAACAGACGCCTTTCGGCAGCCATGCTTTATTCTTTTGTCTATGCCAGCCAAACTCCCGCAACTGCAGCCGGCTCTCCTGCGCTCAACGCCGCAGCGCACTTGCATGTGCTTTATTTTGTTTCTCTATTTTGTTGTTGTTTGTTTTTCACTGTCCGGCCTAGACCCTGGGACTAAGTCTCAGTCACAGTCGTTAAGCGTGACTTTCTTATTGTTGTTTGTTGGCTTTTTGCATACCGACAGCAGCAACAGCAGCAGCAGCAACAAAAAGCGAACAAACAAAAGAGCCGAAGTAACCGAAGCAACCGAAGCCCCAAACCCAAAAGCCGAAGCCAAAACGTTGGCCACTTGCTCGCTGGCCATTCAGTCTTTGACAAGCTATTGTCGCGTGCGGATGTATTTGCGGAAAACATAAGTGCATAACTGCATCAAGGTAAAGAACTGTAAAACTGTAAAGCACGATAACAGTGCACTGTTAAATTAACATAACGCGCAACTTTGGCGCCATCAAGCGATGCGCTTCTAAGCATTGAACTTCAAGTACAACAACAACATTTTTATGTTAATCACAATGAGTGCAACGCGAGCAAAAACAATCACAACAAAAATAACAACAATAAAATCAGCTAGCAACTGGCGCTGGCTATGGTAAGTAAATATGTATGTATAGGCCTATTTATATACAGACAGCTTCAGCTGCTTAAGCGCAGCCAAGAGAGTCCTTTCACGCGGTCGGTTTGCGTGGCTGCCTCAGCCAAGCGAACCAATGGCATCTCCCTCAAGAGCTCCGTTTGCGTGCCGCTGGATCTGCATATACATATATATATAAATATATGCATGATTTATTGGGTATTATCAGTGTTACCTACATTATGCTTAGTCGCTGTGTTTGGACGTGGGCCTGCTTCTGTGTCAGCGTATTGGGCTTGGATGCTGGCTTGGCCCAGATCCTGAACTTGGGGCAATGTAACCGTTTGTTAGCTCTGTGAAGGCGAGTAAGTGAATTGTGTTTGACTACATGAAATTGTCTTACCTTTTCGGATGTCTCTGCTTCAGCTTCACCAGCTCCGCCTGCTTGGCTGCCTCCCGTTCCTTCTCCAGCTTTTGCTTCTGCAACTCCAACTGCTTGAACTCTAGCAGCTGATTGAGGGACTCGACGCTTTTAAGCAACAGATTACTTTGGCTGTTCATAGATCGTAATAGCAAATTAACTATACGCTCCTTTAGCTCCTCCTGCTCCTGTTCCTCCTCTGCCGCCAGGCTGGAGATGTCCGTCTGCGCATAGCTTGCTTGTCGGCCCGTTCCGAGCGTCGTCTGAGTACCTGCGATGCTCTTCGCAATAGGCATCACTAGTGTCTGTGTCAACCTGGACTTCAGCTTCAGCTCCACCTGTGTGGAACGCATCTCCATTTTGAGCTTCTTCGTTTGGCAACTGGCAAAGTTGAAGATTCGTATAGTCGTCTGCTGTTGCCTGGATACCATGAGACTAAGATCCAACGTATCCACAGAGCAATGCGAGTACTGTACCACAGTTGTCTGACTATATGTGTCCCTAGTCGTCAGCTCCTCCATTGAGCCAATGGTCGTCTGGCTGTTGGCATCACAGACGCGCTTCGTACTCGCCTTTTTGCTAGACTGCCGAAGTAGACCCTTGGAGCGCCGACCTCTTCGCATGCTCTTCGCCTGGCTTATCTTCAGGTAACCATCCTGCAGCACATAACAGAGCATATAGCTAAAAGGTATCATCAATAGAGCAGTTATCACTAAGTTAATCCCTTTTCAATCTCACCTCTCTTTGCCACACTTGATGCGCTTGTGTCGCAGCAGTGGACCCTCTGTCGACAGGGACAACTGCAACAAGTTCTTTAAATTTACCTTAAACATGACCAAGCTGAAGTAATAAAAGTATTAGGAATTTCGATAATTAAGTAAAAGCTAGCACAGTTCTCGGTCTTCAATGACTACACAATTTGAACATAAAACTATAATGATTTTTTGTTGAGTATATATAGGATATATAGTTTTGTCGAATTATAGCAACGGGGTAACAATCTATTCTGATCTTAGAGATCTGAGATATGCTAGAGTATCTAGGCTTCGTCATTTCACATTTAACCATATTTTTTAGTCACTTTTTACTGTGTGTTAAATTAAAAGGCCAATCGACTGAGCTGTGTCTGCGTCTGGCCACAAATCTGTTCAATTTTGACACGCAGCCCTTTGCGAATTTGTCTTTTCGAACACGCAAACTTTGTGTTGTTCGTTGTTTTCGGTTGGTTTTTGTTTTTTTGGTAGCTGTTGTTGTGGTTTGTCTTCTTGTTTTTTGTGTTTTGGCCGCGGGGACTTCTTTGTGGCTGTGGCTGTGGCTGGTTGCATTAATAATTCACATATGCCACATCTGTTGTCTGCGCACAACAGCAAAAAGGGAGCTGCATTCGATTATTTTTCAATTTATCAAGTGGACCCCGACTCAATCCACCAAACGAGCCAAACTGCCTTTGGTTGGGTTGGCAATTGGTGGTCAGTGCTAAATACGTGTCGATTGGAATACAATTTGATTTGACTGCTGCTGGCACTGCAATTGGAGGAAGCGCATTGTCGTGCCATATGCCCGGGCCAGGTCTGCAGAGTCAACGACTTGCCCCTGCCCAAGCATCAATCAGTGGCGGCAGCCTCTAATCCCGCCTGGGGGGCGCATTGGTTTTTAAGTCTTGACTCACAATTTATGCCAGCTTCGCTCAAAACTACTTGTATACGCTTGCCTAAGAGTATCATAGCTAAGTGACTTAGTTGGTAATAAACCTGAAAACTTTTTATCATTTCTCCTTGTTGAGTTGCAATATCTAGCAAGCCTTTTAATATCTTTGGAATTCATATGAAATTGTCAATCTCAATCTAAGTTGATTATCTCCACAGTGTGGCGCTCCATTTAACCGTCTTTAAATAAGTCTGCCAATCGATTATACGAATTTGAATTTGATCCTTTTATATCAAATTTGGCAGTCTGGCAGCTCCGTTTACTTGCATTTAAATTTATGCCATTTATCTAGCCGCTCTCTTCGCAAATTCCTGCAACGTTAGAGATATGTATGTACATATGTATATTAAACACTAATTTATCTCAAATTTTGTAACTGTCTGGCAGCTCCAGGGCTCAACGTTGTTTTAAATTGTAACTTTTCTTTTTACAAACATTTTTGTAAGAGTATTTAAACTTCAGCACTGCTATCAGACTCAGCTTTTTATTTAAAATTTTTTTTCTTTGCGCATAGAACGCTGCATGCATTATGTGTGTGTGTATCTTGAGGCTAAGTCTTGTCTTGGGACCCACTGCCAAATGCCAGGCACGTCGCTACGCTGTGGTCGCCTTCGGTTACATTTGATGCATAAAGCTTCGTCAATATATGCCCACATATATAAATGTATGTATGTGTATATGTACGAATGTATGCATATGTATATGTGTCCAGTATAATTTGCTGCTTGGCCCTGTAAAATGGCCAACTGCTTAGTCGGTCAATAACTTTTGACGCTGTGAAGACATCGATATTGGCACAGCCTAATGATTTTCTGGAGCATTCTGCCAGACCGTTATATTGGCAATTCTCTCTCGCTCATCCGCTCTTCCTCTCCCCGTCTTTTACTTTATTGGCAGCTCTTATGAATGTTCCGCTGTTGGAGTTGTTGTTGCTGTCGCTGCTTGCAAGTGAAATTCTCTCACACCCCTCCACTGAACCGTAGCGCATGTGACTTTCGTCTATGCCCGTTTTCTCAACTATTCATTTTACACACATATATTACATTGTAATTGACTTGCCTGTGTGTGTGTGTGTGTGTGTGTTTGTACGTGCTCATTTGCATTTTTAGACGCTTTTCTTTGCGCTTTCTTCCTTATTATTGGTGGGCAACAGCAACAAGAGCATTAGAACTTTGCTGCATGCACTAGAGCGGAGCGCGTGTTGTCTGAGTAATAAAAGATCACGAAAATCTAAGAGCTCGAATATTAAATAATTTACATTTGACATTTATAATATAGAACTATCAAATAAAGTTAAAGCTCAGTATTTTCATTAAGTAAAGTAACTTCATAGATATTGTAATAAGATTTCTGTCCTCAGTTTCGTGACACGCACACATCTCTAGCTTGCACCCTTTGGCCAATTGTCAGTCGGTTGCTGGCTCGCCCGTTCGTTCGTTGGTTCGCTGGGTTTAGTATTTCAAAAGGTTGGCCGCTTCTTAAATTCAGCTCAAAATGCATTCACTTGGCTCTTGACTTGGATTACAACGGCCCATCGAATGTGGCAGGCACTGACGCTTGATTGACCCTGAACCCCAGAGATATGTGGAGTGCACCACGCTTAATCCCTTATAGAATTTCGCACATAAAATCCAAAAATACCAGCAAATAAAAAGACAGGCCATAAAATGAGTTTTTATTTTGCAGTTTATGTTGCTTCCTTTGCTTGGCTGCTGCAGCACAGGCGAACAGCAGCAGCAGCAGCGGCAGCGGGAGCAAGTCCTCTCCGGTGATTGCCAAGGATGCCACGCATATATATAAAATCAAAAGACAGGACAAATACCAACAGCCGCAGAAGCAGCAGCAACAGCTGCCGCAACAGTTGCAGCTGCGGGGCAGCCAGAGCGATGTTGTTCCAGCCCAGCAACAAAAACAACTGAAAAGGCGTACACATGCACTCAACAAGAAGCTGCTCAGGTGAGTAACGGGCGGAGGCTTGAGGGGAGCACTCAGGCTCATTTTGGGCTTAATTAATGCAACGTGTCTAGTGCCAAAGAACAAGAACAACAACAACAACTGTTGCGCACGTCTGTGCTTAGCTGGCATGTCTGTGCGATCATAAATTATATTATGATATATTCGTGGTAAACGTTTAGGGCTTACTGGACAGACAGATRGGCAGACAGACAGAGCAAGCCCCCTTTTTCTGAATATCTTTATATATAAACTCTATTTCACTGTGTGCAGCACTTGTACTGAAATTCAAATATAATGCGACTAAAAAGTTCTTATTTCATTCTGCATTCTTTTAATCTGGCAACACTTTATGCATTTTTCGACAAATTAATTCGCATGCATAACAGTCCACAGTCCGGCAACTCTAGCAGTTTCTTAAAAAGCTTTTGATAAAGACACGTATCATCAATTGTCAAATTGTTAATAACAGTATTTATTAAAGCTTGTTAATCTCTTTTAACAAATATTCAAATCAGAATTTAATCATTTGCCGATTTTTCCTGTCTGCTTGTTGCACTTGCAGCAAACTGGGCTTTGTGAAGGTGAAGGCGCCGAATAGCCATAACCGGAAGCGCTTGGCTGTTGAGTCACGCCGTCACTCGTCGCGGGATGATTCACACATGTTCATCATCAAATTGCCGCCAAATCTGCACTACTATTCAGGACCCAACAGCGTGCAGAATACGCTGGATGCTGTCAAGGGGCAGCAGCAGCCGGAGCAGAAGAAGCAACAACAACAACAGCAGCAGCAGAAGCAGCAGCAAGAGAAGTCTCATCAAATGAGCAACAACATCCATGACAACGCACCCAACATGCCAGCAGCGGCCAGTGAGGCGTCGGCGTTGAAAACTAACGGGAAAAAGGTAAACGGGATTCCATTAGGTTACGCCAAAAAAACAACAACTACACTGTAAAGAACTGGCTCTAATATCGCTTCTTGGGGCCTGGCCTGGTCGGGTTTGGTCTGGCCAACCGTTGATAAACATCGCTGGCGCGCATGCGCACAAAACAAATTGCAAAAAGCAAACACACAGACACACACACACACACACCCAGACAGAGGCCGAGCTGAAAATGGATTACCCATGTGGGCCATTGCATTTCGTCGACTGCTGCAGTCATGGCTCACCCATATAGACAACAAATAAGTAAGAGTGCTCGAGTCAAGGCTGCTCGATAAGGAGATACCCAGCAATCAGCAGAGATAGCCGATTATATAAATACATTTCAATTAGGACAACACAAAGTTATCGATTTAAATGAAACGATCGATAGCTTTGTGAAAACAAATTTGAATTTTGAAACTATCGGTATTTAGAATTAGAATTTAGAATTGCCATTTAGAAGTTTCCAGCAAATGCAATCTTATCACATGCCAATCAATATGCCAATTTTGTATATAGCTGCAGGGTATAAATAGCCATGCACACATGCACGTCCAACTGGCGACCGAGTTACCAACTTCGGGCACAGCTTCCAGACATTATTGTGGCAGTGGCAAAGGCAGTGACAGCTACTCCACAGTCTCAGCTATTTATATACCCATGGAAGATGCCATTGCAAATTCAGTTGCAGTTGTTGTTGTTGCTGCTGCTGTAGTTGCTGTTGCTGTTGCTGCTGTGTCAATGTCAATGTTGTTGCATGCGGCAGGCATAAAATTATTACGCTCTCACGGCTCCAGCTTTAAATAAATATGCAAGCCATGGGCCATTAACCAACCTCAATTAAAAATGCAATTTGTTAGGAGACACTCGTTGACTAATTTATGGCGTTTGGCCAAAAGCCAGCAACAGATATTGCTAATGTTAAGGCAACAGTTACAGTTACTAATAATGTTAATTGAAATGTAATTCTAATATGCATATACACACATGTGACTGCAGCTTATCAATATACATATGTATACATAAATACAATATACATGACATAGCTTATCCAAAATGCATATACGAATAATCGTAATCTTGATCGAGGGCTAATGTTAATGTTACATTGCTTACAGCTCCTTACAGTAATGTTTCTGTTAAGCATACAGTTGACTGAATGTTAAGCCTTTTCTGTTACTGCTACTGTAGCTACTACTACTGTTAGCATTACAAATCTTCTATGCTTATACGCGTCTAATCAATACCCATGACACATTGCAGGTCTCATTTCCGTTCAGTTCGAATGGACGACCGGCTCGTATCTATCATTGGAATCTGCCAGTGCTGAAGCAGGCACTGCAAAAGAATCCGCATTTTGCTCACGTATCTGCGGCGGATCGTAATCGTCTGCTGGACATCGAGAAGATACCGACATGGCGCAAACCCTGGGAGAATGATACCATCGAGAAGTCCTTTACAGCAGGCAGCGGCAAGGCCAAGTACAGGAAATCGCTCAAGCAGAAGTCGCCCACATATTACGCCCCCTCGCAGGTGGTCAACAAGCAGAGTTTCCACAAGTACTTTGCCGGCAACGGCAAACCCAAGGGCCTCTATGTGATCAAGGAGCATCAGACGAAGCCGCAGTTCTATCAGAATATCATATCATAAGAATTTTACTTTCAGTTTTTCAGCTATCTAATGCCAATTAAGCTCGGCATGCATCTATAAGACTGTGGTGTGGGCATTCGCTAATTATAGTGTTTTATTTTTTAATTTGTGTACCACGCGTATGAAACTCAATATATAAGTCTATATTTTTTTTTAAATATATATGTGACTATATATTCCAGTCACTTGTGGACTGCATTTCTTTTCAAGCCTTTCCGTCCAACTTCTTCAAATCGTAAGCAAATCGAAAATGATTTGCACCTGTGACTAAACAATCAGACTAAACTGGAATTTATTTATTAACAATTAATCAGCTTCTGGTATACTTAAGTGCATGCACGAATTTGTTTAAACAAATAAATATGACTGATTTAAAACAAAAACCTATTCGCAACAGCAACTCAATTCATTTATAGCTATGACCCACTGCACGCATAATCTATCCAAACGTGATCCAATTGAGTGAGAGCAGCTGAAGAAAGCCATAAAGATACAGGTTTAGATACAGATATATATACAGATACAGATGCAGATACAGATGCAGATGCAGATGCAGATACAGATACAGATACAGATACAGATACAGATACAGATACAGATACAGATACAGATACAGATACAGATACAGATACTGATGCAAATACAGATACAGATACAGATACAGATACAGATACAAACACAATTTGATATATAGATATAGATACAGATACAGACATAGATGGAGCTACTGATGCAGAAGGAGATGTGGTTACAAATATACCTAAGGAAAGATACATATGCGAATGCAGATATATATATATACATACATATATATTTGTACATAAGTGAGATAGAACTAAAGTACCGCATAGTACTGCCAAAAATGGCGACTGCGAGCTTGAAGCTTGAATATCATTTCTTGTATTCTTTTATTTTGGCAGTCTCCGCGCAGCTGCTCAAACAGCGGAACGTGCGCAATTTTGTTAGAAATTTTTTGTTTTGCTAATTATACGAGAGGTGGAACTGAAAATTGAGATCGCAATTGAGTTTGGGTTGGAGCTTGTAAGCCTGGGAGTGCTACGGCTAAGCCCTGAGCTTGATATGCGCACTCGCCTGGAAACGGAAGCGAGGCATGCACAATATCTCATTTGGCAGATAAAAAGCTCAAGCTACACACACACGTACAGATAGACAGACACATACATATACAAATAAATAGCTGTATGTCTTTGGAAGTGCGTACGAAGCAATAAGTAACAATAATAATAATAACAATCAAAATGATATGTTCGCAGACGACAAAAAGTCGGGATAGCCGCACCTCCGAAAGTGGCGCATAAATAATCGGCTTGATTCGCAGTTCATTATGCACTGTCTTTGGCTGAAGTAAGCGGGTATATTGGATATCTTCAGCAAATTTAATACTACATGAAACATATATATTTCATATATACCTTATGTAGGCTATCGCTAAATGTATACGAGTGGAGAGAAAGATAGGTCAACGCATGGAAAGACAATCGGACGGAAGAAGTAACGAATGAACAGGCAGGCTGACGAGCGGACTGACAGACATGCCAATGTTGAATGACTAAGCTCGTTACGGTGAATGTGAGACGTGTGCTTCTTCATATTAACAAAAAAAAATATAAACAAAATCATTAGACACTAATACCCTAATGCTCGATAAACCATAAAAACTTCATTCAATAATATGATGATATCTTTAGCAAAGCAGCTCTATAACTACAGCAGAGTAGCTTAGAGATTATCTATGACAGAGCATTAGGTAGTCAGTAACAGCTGATCTGCATGCTTGGCATTTCTCTTTTTGTTGTTGCTGGCGACTTTGCCGCATAATTGTTTTCATGGCTTGGCTTGGCCTTCTCCGACTCGGCCTGGCTTGGCCTGGCCTGGCTCCGCTTATGCTTATGCTTTTCCATCGCTGCTGACTCACGTACATTGAACTTTTCACCCGTGTCTCTGTATCTGTGTCTGTATTTGCGGCTGGCGCATTGCGTGCCCATCTTAAGTAGATTTAATGACTTGTTCTTTTGTGCGCAAAAAACTGAAAGAGAATGAAAATGTGAGACATAAATCACATTTATGACGACTGTTGCCGCCCGGTCGGTCGGTCGTTCGGCCGGCAGCTTAATACAGTGGATAGTTCGGCTACATTGATTCATCTGCCTAATGGCATTCCAGAATGCAAATTGCAGAACTGCAGTGGCGTTGACAACAGTTAGATGTGGCAATCATAGATGCCACATTGCAGTTAGATAACAATCGTTGGGATAAATGTGGCATGGGGCATCAAGCGAAGCTAAGTAAAACCAATCTCCAAACAACAAGTTAAGCTTCTTGATATCAGCGCAGCAACTTGTTAACGCCATTCCATTTCCGCCTGTCATATCAAAATAATTATCTCAAAGTGTTGCTTAGACCAACCAAGTCCTAAGAACCATGACCACGATATGCGGCCGCAGCCGCAGCAGCGACAGCAGCAGCAAAAGCAATCAGTAACGGCCGTCGTTTGGTTTGCGTGCGAGGAGGCATTGGTGACTACAACTTGATTTGCCAGAACTAGTTTTACACGCAATCTTGATGGCAATTATGTAATACCGAAATGTGCACTAATTAATATAACATTTCACTTAATTGTATTTACATAAGTTTCGCGATTGCTTATTAATTGGTTGTGTAGCATACATATAAGTGTGTAGACACTATCAATTAGCTGTCGGTTAACCGACCATACGATAATCTACTCAAAATTGACAAGTAGTTTGCGCCATTTGCCTTGATTGCATTATTTTATTGCCCGCGAAATTTAGAACCTTAAAATGAAATTTGAATTCAAACATTACCGACAGTGTGGCGCAATCTATTTGGCAACAGATGGCGCTTCATAGGTTAACAGAGCTGCCACTGCCGTTGTCGATAAGCAGCTATCGATACCTATCGCCGTTGCCATTTACATTCGACAATAAACTTTACTATATGGCCACAGATTTGAGCTCTCAATTACGCGACATAATCCTCAACACTCATGTACCACTAGTATTACCCGATTTTCCCATCAACTGGGAGTGCTTTGACGACTCATTGCAGCACTGGTGCACGCGCTATGACCAGGATGCCAGTCTCGGTTCTCTGCCGGCATTCGAGAGCATGGACGTCACCGACTGCGAGACGCCGCAATGGGAGCGCAAGAGAAAGCATGTCAAGATGTCAATGCAGAAGTTTCTGCATAATTTCACAATGACTGCCGACAAACAGCCCAAGGAATGGGCTGCCTATCAATATGTACGTGCACATGACATACCTCCCAGCTGCTTGAGCGGCATCGATTTCAAGTGCTTCGGATTTGCGGAGCACCAGAACGACTACAGCCTGTGGCTGGGCTCAAAAGGGGCCAATACGCCGTGCCACTATGATACGTATGGCGTGAACATTGTGGTGCAGGCCTACGGCAGCAAATCGTGGTTACTCTTTCCGCCTGAGACGCCACTGCAAAGCACGCGAATTCCCTACGAGGAGTCCAGTGTTTACTGCCTGGAGAACTTCTATGCGCCCGCGCCGGATAAGCTGCAGTATTACGAACAGTTCCAGGAGCACGCTTACCACTGCCTACTACAACCGGGAGACGTGCTGATTGTGCCCCGTCAGTGGTGGCACTACGTGGAGGCGGTGTCCACTTCATTGAGTGTCAACTATTGGGTGCCGCTCAAGTCTGACCTGGACCTGACATTTGATGAGCTTCTGGTCAAGCATGTGGTCGAGAGCTTTGTGAAAGGCGAAAGCAATCAATTGAAACAGTATCTATTGAATCCCAATCAGCTGGGCGAGATAGCCGAATCCGCCAGCTCGCTCTTTAGCCAATTCGAGCACGCAGTCTTGAAGCCGAGCCTGGACAACAAGCGCAAACTATGGGACACCGACTACTTGACTGAGAGCGAGGTACTGGAGCTGCTGCGCAGCGTCAGAGTGTGCATTCGCACCCTGGACGTGATGCCCAAGGAGGCCTATACCCAGCTGATCACAGACAATGCCAAACGACATACGCAAGACAGGCCGGGGCGAAAGGAGGATGCGATAATAAGCTCCACATTAGAGCAGCTGATCAATAGCATGTGTGCGCCTCGCTGCATTGCGTCCATCAAGCAAGAGTTCTTCCGCCGCATGAAGCAAATGAGTGGATCATAGCGCTAGCCCGCTAATCTGAACTAATGAATAAAATATGCAATAGATTACAGAGCTAAGACGGAACGTTTATTGTGATACTTGATTATATGAGATTAAAAATCCAATAAGCATTCATATTTGTTCTATAACACAATTTGAAGCAGAACCAAATGGGAGGGGATAGTGGAAAGGAGGAGCATTAAATGCCATAGAATAGATAGATTCTAAATTCATGAATAACATAATATGCAATAGAGCCGCTGGCTAAACACAGTGCGAAATAATTGGATGCTATTCCTCAGTTTACCAGCCGGGTGGCTTCTGATTCGGATAGCCGCCCTGTTGATGAGCATAACTGCCGGGATATGTGCCATAGTTGCCGGGTTGTGGTCCCTGAGGGAAGCCTCCATACTGATAGGGAGCTATAAATAGAAAATATACATTCGAAAATCTTTTCATTTCAACTTAATCAATCATACGCACCGCCTGGATATGGCAACGTGGCATAGGGATTGAAGCTCTGCGGCATGGGCGGTGGTACATATGTGGGATACGGCACGTTGGCCGAAGCGCCATAGGGCAGCGGCATGTGCACCTGGGCCGGATACGGAACGTTCGGTGCAGGTGCAGCAGCTGTTGCTGGGGCATTTGGAACATCTAAGGAAGATAGAGGAATAAGCTTATAGTGCACATAGAATTAGGTTATCTGATCCACTTACCGCTGCCGCTGCCCGACGTCGAGGCATAATGTGATGGCAGAGCCGGAGTGGCCGGCGGTGCCTGGCGACTGGACTCGGTCGTCAGATCCTTGAGCAGCTCCTCCTTCTCGGTCTTGCGCGCAAACACAAAGTCACTGATCTTATTCTGGAACACAACCAACAGCTGGGTGAGGTCATTATAGAACTTGGTGCCCTCCTGCAGATTGCCAGACAGCTCGATGTAGCTGTCGTAGGCGGTGGCCAGCTCCTGGTACAGTTTGTCGCGGGAGCTGCCGCAGTTGCCCGTCTCGGCCACGAAGGCACCGTGGGCGCTCTGTATGTCAGCGACCAGCGTTGCCTGACGCTCCACGCTCTCCTTGACCTGGGCCTGTAGCGGGCTGAGCACCTGGCCAATGCGGGACAGCGACAGGGCTGGCTCATCGATGGCGCCATCTTTCTGCAGGGCATGCAGAAACTCGTCCTTCATGTTGAATGTGGCCGACTTGAGCTCCAACTCAACAGCATCGCGCTCCGCCTTGATCGTCTCAACGGCCTCCATCAGCTGCTTGAGGCGCTGCACACTGGAGCAGTTGGGATCCACGCTGCCGCTGGCGGATGGCAGCGATTGCTGTATTTGCTCCGGCGGCATCGAGAGCAGCTCAATGCCCTTCTGGTTGGCCTCGAACTTCTGGCGCACCACCTTGTCGGCCTCGATGGCATTGGTGATGACCTCGCGGTACTTCTTGGAATTGGTGCGGAACATTTCGGTTAGCTTGTCGGAGCTGATGCGTGTCCAGCGCTCCTTGAACTGTGCGCGCAGTTGATTGTCCGAGTCGCGCTCCTCATCCAGCAGCCGTTCCGTCTCATCCAAGATCTCGCGATTGCGATTGAGCAGCTCCGGCAAATCCTTCAGCATTGTCTTCAAGTGCTCAATGCCGCCCTTCTCACGCACCTCGTTCGCCTTCTCGCGCAACGAGGGCGGCAAGCCGCTGTTGCTATCAGTCGTCTCCACGGCAGCGGGAAGATTGAGGCTGGCCAGCACCGCGTTCAGGGTTTGAGTTGCCTCGCGCAGCTTCATGATTTCGGTGTTGACAATCTCATTCTTGCGCATATCAGATGCGGTCAGGGCACGGTGCAATTCCACGGGCACCAGGGCGCTGAAGATGTCCTTAAAGTTCGAGGCCATGGGCGTGGCCAGAGGCAGCGGCTTGGCCAGCTGTGCCTTGCCGGGCGAGGCCAATGTGCTCAGCTCCGGTATCATCTCATTATAAATGAATTCGTTGTCCTTGGTGGACTCGGCCAGATTGCGCTTGGCGCGACTGAAGTACTCATCCAGATAGGTCTCGTTGCCGCCACGAGATTGCGCGGCCTTGAACAGGTCGACGGCATTGCGCAGACGGGCGATTTCCTCCCCAATCCGCTTGGCCGACCGACAGACGAGACTCTGGTAAAGCTGCGTTAGCGCATGGAAGCCCGCCTGCTTGCCAGCGACTGTGGGTATCCACTCTTTCTCCCAGAGACGGCGCACCGACTCCTTTTGCATGGCGCGCAGCACATCCGCATAGAACTCCTCGCCCTGACAGCACAGTTTAGCTATGATCTGATCCTTCATATTGTCTGCGCAAATGGAACTGAGCTTAGTATGCGAAGATCTTGCATTTCTTATGGAGAGCTTTACCTTTAATGGCCTTCAGTATGAAGACTTCTTGGGCCTGTGCCACCATCAGGGCCTGCAGTACAATCAGCGCATCCTGACTCAAATCTGGCGTCGGCTCCGAGGGCACAGCTGCGGGTGTGGCGCTCTTCAAGTACTGGAAAATGCCCGCGCTCTGCTGCAACAGTTTTATGGCCAGCTTGAGGCCTTCGTCCGTGTCCAGGTCCTGGCTGGCAGCCACACTGCTCTGCAAGGCGGCAATGTTGAAGAGCACGCACACCTTCTCGTACAGCAGCGAGGTGTGAGCTGAACGATGAAGAGCAACGTGTTCAAACCGGTTCAAGCCTATTGCATCATAGCAGAGTCAGTACTTACTCAGACTGATCTTGCCACCGAAAATGGAGCCTTTGTCGAATGCATCCTTCCACTTGAAGGGTATCTGCAGCTCGCTGGCGGATATCTTTGTCTCCAGTGCGGTTATTTGGTCGTAGTAGCTAAAAAGTAAATAAAAGTGAAACCAAACGCCAACGGCGTTTTATTAGAGACGACGTCATTCGCTTATGCTTGTGTTTACGTCTGGCTCTGGCTCTGGCTCTCTTTCTCTGTCTCTGTCTCTCTCACACACACACACTTGCAACTGATTAATTACAGCTACTTTAGTACTATCAACCGCTATGAGTCATTGCACACAGCATAGAGAACCTACTTACGGCTATCACGAAATGCTATTGAAGAAAGTAAATTGCACTTACGCATAGACGATTTCCAGCGATGTCTCATACTTTTCGAAAAACTTCCAAATCGCCGTATTGCGTTGCTTTGAAAACTCATTTACTGCCTCTGCATACTGCGCCTTCTCTTCGGCACTGGCTCCATTGTAGGTGCTCTGTATTAGATTGTTCAGTGGCTTTATTATGTCCACCTCTGATGGCTTCTTCAGTGGCACTCCCAGTAGTTTGGACATTTTCAATGTGATTTGCAGCAATGCACTATGTTTTTAAGAAATACTATTTAAATTTAATTTGCAGACAGAACCTTGTTTTTCCTTTATTGTGTGCTGCCCCCTATCTCATCAACAGCTGCGGCCAGTGCTGTCGAATTTGTAGGCAATTGGTGAGTAATTGCGTTGTCTGACGCGCTGCTATTAATAGTAGAACATTCCTGTTATATGTGGAGCAGCTCTAAAAGTTGAGGAGCAAGTCTGCTTACAATAGAAGCAATATGATTCGTCATGTCTTTTACATTTTGAATTTTGTGCTATTTTTGCATGACTAATATAGATAAACCTGAGCAACAACAATATAAATAGACTTTAATCCTTATATGCTGTGATTGAGCTCAAATATGCGGCATCTCTGTTAAGCGTCATGTTACCGGCGCCTCTTAATAATGTTGGGATTCTTTTAACTATTGTGACTGATAACAAATCGCCGCCCAGCTGACAACTCTACCATATATGTAGAAAGCATGTCAACTCTAGACACTTTCTATTTTCTGATTGCGTTGTTGTGGAAGAAAACTGGGTGAAAAGAAGAAATTTCTGAAAATATATTAACATTAAATCAAGCTTTTGGAACTAAGAACATAGAAATAAGTAGGAAACTCCTGTGAATTACAAGTGTTAGTGGCTGTGTGCGAGGAGGCGCTAACCACGAATAACGGGACTAAACACTTGCAGTAASTGCAAAAAAAGTCAAGGGAAAAGAAAAGAAAAAAAAATCGAAGAATCCCCTAGCGATGGCTGATGTTGAAAAATTGACAGCCGCACCAGCGACTGATATACCTGTTTCATCTATAAATGCCAACGACACGGTAACAGCGAGCGGTAGCGCGGCCGATCTGGGCACCTCGCCCACACAGGAGCCCTCAAGCAATTCGCATCCTCATGACTCTGAGTACGACACCGCTAGTGATTTAGAGGGTGATTACGACGACGATGAGAGCGATAGCGAGGAGGAGACGGAAACCGACGACGACGAAACCGAGGAGGATGACGATGAGCTTGGTAGCGGTACCGTTAGCGGTAATGGGCTCGATCGCAGCGGAGCCGACAGCGAGGCACAGAAGAAAGTTGATGAGGATCGCAGCAATCCTCAATATATACCAAAACGTGGCACCTTCTATGAGCACGACGACCGCACGGCCGAAACGGAAGCCGACGGCGTTATTGATATTGGCAGCGATGGTGGCCAATGTCCACCGGGTGTGGAGCCCACTGGCGATGATGTGTCCAATGGCAACACTGCCACAGGATCTACGTCGGCTGGACAGACGCCAACCATATCACAGGCTTCGAAAACCATGAAGAAATGGCAGCCAGCTTCAGGCGGTGATCGTTGGTCCCACGATCGCTTCGAGGCTAGCGAGCAGGCGCCCAAAACTCGAGCAGAGCTACTGCAATCCTATGGATACGATATACGCAACGAGGATGCGGCGCCGCGTGCCCGTCGCCGACGACGTTATGGGCGCGGACCTAGCAAATACTCGAGAAACTGGGAGGATGAGCAGGCGTATCTGAAGGCCAGCAACAAGGAACGCAAGCCCCCCCGACCCCAGGACTTCCCGGCACTCAACGAGCGCAGCAGCACATCCAGCAGCAACAACAAAGTGCGTCGACCGCGCAACTCCATTTCGCGCGAGGAGAAGGAGAATCGCGGCGAGCGACGCAACAATCATGCCGCCACTGCAGCTGGAGTGTGCAACGAGAAACAGCACGCCACTGGCTCCGGCTCAATGGCAGGAGGCAAGTCGCAGGAGCCGCGTGAGCGTGAGCCCAGGCAGCGCAACTATGGACGCGCCAATGGTGGCCACAATGCCAACGGACGACAAAATGCCATGGAGTTCAAACAGAAGTCAAATCGTGGTTCACATGGACGCGGCGATCAGCGCGATTATGCGGAGCAACGCGGCGAGCGGGATTACCATGTGAACAGATCAAATGGCAGCGGACCCAAACAGATAATCGATATACAGACACATCAGCAGCAACAGCAGCAGCAACAGCAGCAACAGCAGCCACAACAACAGCAGCAGCAACAACAACAACACMGGCAACCACAGCAGCAGCAGCAGCAACAGCAGCAGCCACAACAACAGCAGCAGCAACCACAGCAGCAGCAACAGCCTCAGCAACAGCAAAAGCATCTGCCATTGGTCACATCGAATCTATCGCATCGTTTGCAACAGGTGCAGCAGCGTAACGATCCTAGCCATGTGGGCAGCGTGCAAATGCACTCGCTGGCCGCGCAGAACCAACAGCAGCAGCAACAGTTGCATCTGGCACAGCAGCAGCAGCAGCCGCAACAATTGCCAGCGGAGCAGCGCAGCGGGCCTAAGCGCTACTCCAGTCTGAGGCGCAGCCAGCACGAGGCCACACAGCAACAGCAACAGCAACAACAGCAGCAGCAGCATCATCTAGTGGAACAGCAACAAATGCAGCAACAATTGCAGCTGCAACAGCAGCAGCAACAACAACAGCAGCAGCAACAACAATCGCAGCTAATGCTGCAGGATCCTCACATGCTCATGCAGATCGCCTACCAACAGCAGGAGCTGCAAGCGCAGCTGCAGACACTGCAATTGGGCCCAGCACCGCCAGCAGCGGTGGCCGCGCCTCAGTCCAAGCAACATGCGCCGCCCGCAGGAGCCTATCCACAGACGCAGGGCGCGCCCTATTATGAGTCGGTGCCCGTGCAGGTGCCTGTGCCGGTGCAGGTGCCGGTGCCCGTGTCAGTGCCGCAGGCACCGTATGTGAATCCGGCCAGCAATGCCTATCTGCCGGCCACGCCAGCGGCCGTGGCCTATGCCCAGGCACAGTCGGCAGCCACGGTGGCGCCACAGCCAGCGCCTCAGGCGGCGCCGCCGCTGTCCACGCAGGCCGGCCAGGCCTATCACCAGAATTATAATACGGTCGGCGGCACCACATATTTCGTGCCGCCGGCCCAGACCACAACCCGCCCCGCTGTGCTGCCCCAGAGACGACCCACCAATGCCATACCCATCCTGCCGCCATCCGAGAAGCATAAGACGCGCACGGCCAAACCGGACGAGGGGGCCAGTGGCAGCGGCAGTGGCAGTGGCAGCGGCGACAACATCGATCACATCATTGACAACATGTTCGTGCAGCGCCCGGCCTTCCAGCCGCCGCCCGCGTCGGCAGCGGAGACACCGAGCGACGATGGCAACAGCAGTGCAACTGTTGCTCAGCCAGCGGCCGTTGACCAGACCCACCTGGTGGCTGCGGTGCCCGGGCAAGAATGAGTGCACGTTTATGCTGATCCGCGGCAGCAGCAACAGTTGCAATTGCAGCAGCAACAGCAGCAGCAGCAACAGCAGCAACAGCAACAGCGACACCTGCGCAGCCATCAAGCACAGGAGGAACTGATGTCCAGTGGCTATGCCCTGCTGCCGCCCCAGATTAGCTACTATCGTGCCCACTAAAGGGCACGAAAAACCCGAAGATTTTGACGAGATTGTTTCTTTAGCGGAAGGGATCTGTGATCCTTGCCCCAACACTCACTCAACCTTTTTTAGAGCACACACATACACACACACACACACACATTTGTAATTAGCGAATAGTTGCACTTAATCGAACTAACTAAGGTCGTTTCGACTACACCCAGAGTTCAGCGTAAGGCTTTCCAAGTAATCCATATATATACTATATATATCTAGTAATAGAAAGTATCAAAAGAATTTTTAACCAGAGTCCTCTCGCTGGCGCTTATTATCTAAATACATGAATATATATAAATATATATAGTCGCATTTTGAAGTTGGATTAATCGTGAATTGTAATTAATCATTGAACATTTGAATTTCAATAAAAGTTGTAACACTTAAAGCAAACCCTGAAAAAAATATGATTATTTTATAGACAATATTAGATCTATTTTGGATCTATAGAGGTTACAAAAAGAAGTAAAGAAATTGAATAACGCTGGCTTCACTAGTGAATATCCTAAACAGAATCGAATTAGCTGATCAGATCAGAATGAATCTCCATTTCAACGAACAATTTCAATACAAAAACATTTATCCTTCTCACAAATATAGATACAAAACTTTTAGATTTAAAATTAAATTTTAATAATTTTGCGAATTCAATTTGATTGACTTATAAGTAACTTTTTAATTGATCCGTAAGGTTTGGGCTAAATATAATGTCAAAAGCCTTTTACTATTTCGAACAATATATTTTCTATATAGATTGAGTTTATATTCAAATGCTATTTCGAAATAATTTCCGTCTTAAAATTTTGTTCTTAATTGATTGTCAAAGTTCAACATACGTCTGATAGTGATTGTATATACACAGTAGAATCAGGTTATAACGACTCTGACGAAAATTCTGGTCCCCAAACAAACTTATATGAGCAGTGTAGTTAAAATGCCTGACCTAGGACAACAAGAATATTATGAACTTAAGACCTACACATAGTACATATAAAAGTAGATTATGATATGAAATCTCCTGCTGATTTGAAATGGAATTGATAATTATTTTTCTAATTTAACTCCACATGGAATGCAATCGGCATTCCGATTATATAGAAAGCTGACTGGTGTATATATATCTCGTCGCTTGGCAGTTTACAACTTCGAATCATTTTGCTGCTGCTCTAGCAGCCGGCGAATGCGACGGAACGACTCCATGAAGATGATATTGAATTTGCGTGCGCTGCTCTTGATGCTGTCCCGATAGGCAGTCGAGTTCATGTAGACGCTGCAAGTTGAAGGAAGCATTTTAGTATGGTCAAAGGACTGTATGGGAGCTGTGAGACATACGCATCCGAGGTAATCGAATAGAAGACACCATAGCCATCCAGTGTCATGGGCGCCACAAAGCCCACGTTGGGCGTAAAGCCCAGCGTGCTGGAGGATAGGACGAAATTGCCACCGCCGCCGGCCTTGGCATAGAGCGGATCATCATACAGAGCGGGTATGTCCAGGTTGTTCTCATAGGCCGCGCACCACAGCCCGAAGAGATGCCTGTCTATGCCATGACCCTTGCGTGCCTCGTCCATCTGATGTCGATGATCCATGACAGCGGCGCGAAACGCCCTAACCAGCTGCTCATCCGTTGTATTCTTGTTGCCGGAGGCCAGCAGGAATTCGTAGACAGCATTCGTGCAGGACCGCAGCGTCTCCGTGCGTCCATTGTAAAAGTGACGCATCAGTGCCGTCTCATAAGTGGGTGCAATCCTGGCGAGAATTACAGATGTTAGACAATGGAAGTACAAGTGGAAAGCACGCATTGTCTTACTCCTGGTGCATCTGGTAGTACGCCCATTGCATGAGCACCTGGACAAAGGAGTCGGGGTGCAGCTTCTGAGTCTTCATGAAGTCCTTGCCATAATCATCAAACACCTCAAAGGTAACGATGACATCGATGCCCTGTAAGGCAGACTCTTAAAATTGCGAAGAGGCTCGAATCGTGGATTCCTACTAACCCTTTCATCGATCTCATGGAGTACGCGCTTAATCTCCGACTTGAGTGTATCATCCAGATCGAACTTAAGCTCCTGCACTTCCACCACTTTCGTTCCATTGGCCTCATTCCAGTTCGGCTCGGGCACCTCCAGGAAACTGAGCTGCATAAACGTCGCAAAGCTGGCACTGACCGTTCCATCGTAGCAGCTGTGCTCGCCCGTAAACACATAGTGTCCGTTCTTGAAGGCGATGATGCAGCTGCTGCGATCCCCCCAGCGTGAATGATAGTCGCCATAGATGCACAGCTGTGACGACTCCTCTGTGTTCTGCGGCTGATGCTCGTCGAAGCAGACGTCTATGCAGGAGCTTTCCACCAGCTTCAGCTTCTGCTTGTTCGCCTCCGAGAGGTTCAACAGGTGCTTGCGGTTCTTGGCCCAGCTGGTGCGGTTGTCGTGGGTGAGCGCGGGCACGCCATCGCCCTCCGGCTCATAGTCCAGCATGCTGCGTATCCGCTGCAAGGCAACTAGGATCTCGGGCGCCGTTAGAATGGAATCGTCCTCGTGCACACAATTAAACGTGAACTGGCGACCCTTGCCCGTGATGGTCAGGTGCGTCGGTGTGCGTCCCTCGGTCTTGGTCAGAAAGTGCTTCTCAATGTGATCCTGCTCCTCGCCCGGCACACGCGACGTCGAATAGAACTGCTTATACAGTGCCGAGGAGTACTTGACCCGGCCGCCGTTCGAAGAGAGAGGCCTGATGTTCTCATTGCGCACCAGATCCCAAAACTCCAGCGAGTGATAAATTTGTCGAGCGAGACTCTGAAACGAATGAGATTCGTTTCGGTGATTGCAAATGATTGGGTTGATGACTGTTAAACCTTGAGCATGTAATCTGGTCGCTCGGGCACGCCCACATGGCACAGCTGGCAGGGCATGGACATGATTTGATAGGGCAACAATGGCAGACGCATCGTGTGATAGGCATAATCCTCCCACCAGCTGCCCATCCAGTTCTTCATGCGAGCCGCGCGCTCCTTCAGCTTCTCCTGCAATTTGGCTCCAATGCCCGTCTCGAACTCCGCAATGATGCGCCTCGTCTCGGCCAGCTCCTGGTCCGTGCCAAAGGGCCGCAAGCCGGCATAGTAACGTTGCAGTGTATCCCTCAGCTCGGGCAACGGCAGCGGTGGCAGCGTCTCGTCAAAGCTAAAGGTGCTCTCATGATTATCACCGATAAATAGGCTGGCACGGTCCATAATAACAACCCAAAATAGCTGTTAAATATATTAACTACATTAATTTCAGTGTGCATTTATTTATCTCTAATCGTCTGTAGATAAGCATATAAGCAGCAGCTGATTACTTTTTCAATTTGTGCTGCATATGGTCCAAATGGTCCAAAGTTTTAACTCTTGGCCAAAGGTCGCTTACAAACAGACGCAGACACACACACAGATATGCATACACATATATAGGCTAATATGTTAATAGGCATTTTGTTTTATTTTACGCTTGATTAGCCTGTTGCTGCGTCTCCATTTTTACTGACCTTCACGTGTATCCAACCGATGCCTCGAAGTGCCGCTAGACGACTAAATACCTTGATGAGAACCAACCCAGCCACAAGCGTTGTCGAGCCCACTTGCGTGTGTGTGCGTGCGTGAGTCTCTCAAGCTGAATCGATTTGATAAGACTGCGACCGATCAGAACGGTTGAATGAACGCATTCTATAGATAAAACATCCACATATACCTATATATACGTACATGTATGTGTGAATAGCGCGGTTAAATGTTTTCATTTTAATGGATTTGCATTTTTGCAATGCATGCGCAATCATTAGTAACCATGGCTCCGTCAACTAGTACAATAAACTGTGACGTCATGCCTCAATTGTCTGCAAGAGAGAAGTGTTTTGAACTTTGTACCCGCCACCCGCACACTGAGATATTATTCTAGAGCTGGGAGTGTTCTGGTTTTTTGCGCTCGTGACACGAACACGACGGAGCAGGATGTTGTTGAGGAATATCAACAAGTTGCATGGGCTCTGAAAGGAATCTAAGAATGAAGAAAAAATGCTAGGGAATGTGATAAGTAAATATTAGTAAAATGCGCAATTGAAATGGGTTAAAACTTTTTAATAACATATATTATTGAAAAAATTAGGAATAATTATTATTTACGTATAAGTTACAAGTTAATTAAATATATTAATTTGCAATTCATTGATAAAATCGAACAAATAATTGCATTTATACATACTATATTTCTCCTACCATTTAATTAGCAATGAACAATTATACTGCCCAGTTGAAAACATGCACATCCTATTATGTTTTAAAATATATTGGTATATTTTTTAGTGGATGTTGGTATTTGATAATGCCAGGTGTTGAACACATGTTACATAGATATGTAATATTTAATTTCAGTGGCCTATAAGTATTAACGCCAATATTTAGTATTGCTGTCAAATTTCTATTGGGTCGCTGGCTTCAATTTTGTTTATGTGCTCCAGCTGTGATTCTAATGCTGCCACACTATCGAACAAGTGGCAACGCCGTTCTGCTTGTTTCGCAAAACATCTGGCATTAATTTCGTGAAATGAGCAAATACACAAAAAACGAATTAAATAGAACATTATATTTTCCCATAACGCTTGCCCAATTAAGTGGCGATTATTAATTAAGCGGAAGAGGCCAAAAAATGCTACCATCGACGGGCCTTTTCAAGAGCTTCGCTTGTCCATACTACAACAGTGCCGGCAACGGCAGCGGCAGCAATGATGAAAACGGCGAAGCGTCCTTCAACTGCAAACGTCCTTTCTGCCATTTCAAGCACAATCGCAAGGGTGAGTGTGTGTGTGTGTGTTTCGAGTTATGCAAACATCTAACGCGCTTTGTTCGCAGACGATGTGGAAGCGACACTGCCTGCGGAATCGGTGCCGGAGTACAAGCCAGCGCCGGTGCCCAAATTGCTCTCCCTGCCACTGCCCGAGATGACGATGTGTGCGCCCAAAAAGAAGCCCAATCTGGAATACCATCCGGAGAAGCCGGCCCTGAATGCTTCGCCGGCGAAAAAACGTTTTGACGAGGCAGCGAGTGCACCCAAATATGTGCCTTCCGTGGTAGCAAATGGAGCCGACGACGAGTGGGTAGAATCTGAAAAAGAGGAGGAGCCAGAAGAAAAGCAACAGCAAGAACAACAGGAAGAGCAAGTGAAGGCCAAATTGGAGACGGAATTGGACGAGTTGGCCAAAACAACCATTGAAATTAAGCCCGAACCACAGGAAGCCAATGAGGACACCCCAAAGAATAACAACGAAAAGAAGACTTCATCGTCTTCGTCCAGTGCTCGCAGCGAAAGCCGCAAACATGAACACAAATCTAGAGACAGTAAAGAGCGTCGCAGCTCGTCCCAGAAAGAAAAAGAGCGATCATCTGGCGAGCACCGTAGTTCCAGTTCCAGCTCCAAACACAAATCGTCATCTTCATCATCGTCTTCGCATAGAAAATCATCGAGCAGTGATAAGCATCGCAGTGAGAAGAAGTCTAGCAGCAAGGATAGAAACAGTTCATCCAAGACAGCAACAGCATCCACAACATCTGCATCATCATCGTCTAAGAGTCGCCATCACAGTAGTTCTAGCTCCAAATCTACATCACGCAGCTCGAGCAGCTCAAAATCCAAATCCTCCAGCTCCAACTCTAACTCTAACTCTAACTCTCACTCCACTTCCAACTCCAACTCCAGATCCAGCTCTGGCAAAAGTACGACCAAAGCCGAAACAGACACCTCAACTTCTATCGAACTGCCAGCCAAGCCGGATGATGACATTGCACTGGATTACGAAATGAATGTGGATGTCTCCGAGGCGGAGATCGTGCGCCAGTGTGAAATGATATTCGATGAGCTGGAGCAGGCGTTTGCCCAAAAGCCTGAAGAGACGAGCACGGAGAATGTGCGCAAGCGCAAAGCGCCCTCGCCGGACATTGAGGCCTACACCGAGGCAGCTACAGCGGCGCTGCAGAAGCGTCGGGTTGCCCATGAGAATGCGGATAAGTGCAAGCCGCAAGCGCCGGTGGCAGTCCACAAGCCGAATCATATACGCAACGCGATGCAGGCGATCTTCGACAGACGGGCCGAGCTGCGACGCCAGGAGAAACTGCGCGCCGAGGCAGATGCCGAGCTGTTGCGGCAGGCCCAGGAGCGGGTGCGCATAGCCCAGGAGGAGCTGCGCGAAGCCCGTGCCAAGACCCTAACACCGCTCATCTCACGCAGTAGCCTGACACCACCAACTCGCATAGGTGACCTAAGACTTCTCTCTACTTATATTTGCTCTATGAGCTTAATCTAATATTGTTCCTTCTTGCAGCACGCACCATAACGCCCGTGGCCAATGTGATAGCCATTGCGCGCGCCAAGAAGAAGATCGAGGAGTTGCAGGCGGAAAAGAAGCCCGCCTTCACAGCTGCCCAGACGTTCAAAGGCGGCACTCGCTTGGCTCACAAGCCGACAGCGGCATTGGACAAGGTGGCGCCTGCAACGGATGTGGCTGCTGCCAAGCCGCCGGTGCTGGAGCCGCAGAGCTCGAAGATATCGTATAACATACGCATGCAGTATTATGAGATGATGGTGAAGCAATGCACCGCTATCTACCCTCAGCTGACTGACGCCTGGGAGCGAGCGCAGGTCGAGGAGCTGGCTGTGTTCAAGAAGTGCAGCACGCCGTCAATCTATAAGAACAGCTGCATGCTGGCCATCAACAAGCTGCGTAAGGAGGCCGTCGAGGCGGGCAACCAGCCCAGTGTGGCCAACAAGACTGTCTCGCACGAGATGATGCTGGGCGGCAAGCGGGCGCTCACCACATCCTGGAGCGTGGAAAAGAAGGAGTGCGTATGCAGGGAAAACTCTTCGAGTTTTCACTAATATTTGACTCTGTCTTTTAGCAAATCGTCGTCGGAGCCCTTTGATACACTCAGTGCGGAGAAGGCATACGAAATGGTCTACGATCTGCGTCTGACCGACGAGCAGCTGGTGGAGAACGGCTTCCCACGGCCGGGCAAGGTGCGCGGCACGGCTGTTATACGCTCCAGCCGGCCGAATCGACGACCCAACGAGACGGAACGCTACTGCACCCGCTGCGGCAAGGTGTTCAATCTGAGCATCTATGACACCAAGTGCACGGACATGTGCAACTATCATCCAAAGAGCACGGGCTATCGGCGCGGCTTCACAGATAATCAGCATCGGTGCTGCCAGCAGCCAGCGGGCACGCCTGGCTGCAGCTATGCCAACTACCATGTCAGCGACTACTACGATCCGGATAAGCTGACCTGCTTCATAAAGACCATTGAGCGCTCGGATGACTATGTGCCCACCAAAAAGGACATTTATGCGCTCGACTGCGAAATGTGCTATACGACGCACGGCATCGAGCTGACCCGAGTGACCGTCGTGGACATCAATGGACGCAGCGTCTACGATGCTCTGGTCAAGCCGGACAACCAAATTGTGGACTATAATACTGTGTACGTATAAGACCGTGAGCTGTATTTGATTGACTGATTGATTGATTCGCTTTGGTTTAGCTATTCGGGCATCACGGAGGATATGCTCTCAAAGGAGACACGCACGCTGCGCGATGTTCAGGCGGTGCTCATGTCCATGTTTCATGCCAAGACGGTGCTGGTGGGCCACAGCCTGGAGAGCGACATGAAGGCCTTGAAACTGATACACGATGTAATCGTGGATACATCGGTGTTATTCCCCCACAAAATGGGGCTGCCCAAGAAGCGAGCACTCAAGACGCTGTGCATTGAAAACCTAAAGCGCATTATACAAGAAAATGGTAAGCAGCTGCCCGACTCTATATCTATGTCGGTATCTATATCCATATCATTGTCATTATCTACGTTCGACTTGCAGAGGCTGGCCACGACAGCGCTGAGGATGCGGAGGTCTGTATACAGCTCATCAAATACTATTTGCGCAACAAGATTAGTTGAGCTGTCCAAGCGGATCGCATTATTTAATTAATGTTTGGGATTGGATTAAACATGTCATCGATGCGGACACATTACATACGATTCGCAATATGTAACTCAACTTCACAGACGAATCCCACACTTGAAATCAAAACGTATCCCATAAGTGAGCCTTAAGATCGAAAACAAATCATTATATATATAAAATGGATATTTATATATAAAATACTAAATATAAACAATAAGACATTATTTTAAATAGTTTGCATTCTCTGGCATCTCGCACAACATCCAGATGCGGTCGAATTCCTGCTCCAGTCGCTTGGCAACCCTGGGCGAACTGGTCACGAGGCAATCTTCACAGTTTCGGGGCAGCATCACCCAGTTCATGGAGCCAGTTATGCAAACGGTCAAGGCCTTTGGCATCTTTTTTCGCGTGGCAATGTATCCATCGATGATGCAGAACTTGTGATGCATCGTCATCTCACGCATATTTCTTTGTATTACAGATAGTCTGCGCAGCAATACGCAATTGTCGAAACACTCTTGTATCAACTCATAGTTTTTGAAGCAGACCACGCGCACTCTCACTCCACGCTCACTGGCACGACGCAGTGCGTCGGCAATGTCACAGGAGTCCATCAGATAGATCGCCACGTCGATTGAATACTGCGCCTGGTCTATGGGGTCAATGATATATTTCAGTTGCCTCCTTAAGCAGCTGGCAGCGTCACATTTCGCATCGGGCGTTTTATGCAGCAAAGAACGATTTCGGAAATACTGAAAGGAAACGATCGCAGTCTGATTTACGCGCTTTCCGACGCGATCCTTCGTCCACTCCCGCTTCAGTTTGGCATAGTGCACTCTCCAATTATTTGGTTCATTAAAGCATAGCTTTATGAATTTTATTAAATAGTACAACATTTTCGACTTTTCGTTGTTTGTAGTTGACAAGTGCAATGGCAGATTTTCAAAAGCGATTGAAGGGCTGCCACCTTGTAATAAATGCGGTATTGCCAGCTTGGAGCGTAACGGCTTTGCAAGCTGCAAATGTTGGCGTTGCCAGTTTATGCTATTTAACATACTTCATACTGCCTGAATCGATGTGAAAGTTTCTTTTGTTTATATGAAAATTTAATTAATTGGAAATGTCTTATTTATTTTATAGCAAAATCCGGATTCCATTGGCTTCCAGCTCAATGTTGTTATCAACAGCATTCGAACGTAGTTATAGACGACTAAGTTTTCTCGCAAATAACAAAGGAAAAAAAAAAAAAGAAAACTTCAGCTTTGTAGGTGCCACAAAAAAAAGCTTCATAAATCGCAAGTTTTATAACTTTTCTTTTTGTAATTTGTAATATGTATCGCATAGACTTGTTGCTGTAAAGAGTAGAGTAGGTGTAGCTGTCCATGCTCGCTCGTATCATTTGGAACGAGAAATTTTAAAAGGTTTATATGGAAACTATATATTCCTGATTGGTATTAAAAGTCTATACATTTATAATTTGAATATGTTTGCAGTTTCACACTACAGTTAACAGAGTCTAAGCTCATTCACATGTAGATAGAAACAATAAATACATGTATGTGTGTTCCTTAGAAAACTTGTTCATATATTTCATTGAGCCAAAGCATAAGAAAGGATATACAATATTCGCTATGATATAGCGTTTTGTTCTTTCATGTTTGAATGTAATTTAAATCAGATTTCATGTTGTACTCGATATATTTTTCAATTATACGCGCAACGGCTGTTGGCAACAGCTGCTCACCAATATTGTTGTTGTTGTTGTAATTGTTTAACAAGTATAATGTTTTAACAAGTAGTTGCTGCGTATCGAACTTTTACGCCGTGAAATTCTATTACTCAAAAACAAAAGAAGAAGAGAGGAAAAATCGAGTAAAAGTTTTTTTTTTTCCGTACTTTTATTGGTATTGGCTCAGTAATTCGTAGTAATTGTTTCCGCCGGACTTTGATTGGTCGTTTTTTGGTTGGCAAATGGATGAATAGATGTGACTCGAAGTAGTTGGAGAAAGAGGAAGAGACAGGAGTGGGTTAGCTGGCAGCAGGACTCCTTCACACATAAACCTAACGAAATGTAAATAATATTAGTGGTACTTGGCAATGACAATGTGCATATGTGGCCCAAAAAGCCGAAAGACCGCACATACTGCAAACAAAACACACGCAAGTGACGCCTCGAGGGCTCGCAGGGGGAACGGGCCTAAAGGGCGCCCGCCGAAGGGCTAGTGCGCAAAACAAACACAAGACCCAAATACAAACAACACAGACACACACACCCACCTACACATATATATACAAATACTAAGAAGCTAGAAAAACAAGTGTGGATGGGAGAGCACAAGTGGGGCTGGGCTGGGGGCTAAGTCAGTGCTGCTTGACTTGTCCCTCTGTCACACATTGGGCGACCTGGCCAGGCGGAAGTATACTTAAGACCGTCGAAATAGAGGCATTAAGATCTTTACAGTTAATCCCTTGAGTAAATGTTGGCTCTATGTAGGTGTGTGTGTGTGTGTGTGTGTGTGTGTGTATGTGGTCGCGAGGACATTGTTGTGCCAATACACAAACATACACACAACCATAGTGTATACACAGTGAAAAATGTGGTTAACAATAAAACAGCATTCTGTAGGTGGAACACTTAAATTTAGGGCAACTAACTTTATTGTAAATTGAGCTGCTTAGGCATACTAAATACTACATATTAATTTAATAGCAATTCGATTAATAGCTCTTCTAAAGAATTAAAAGTAAAAGCTTTCCAAATGTTCATTGAACTGACAAAACACTTAAAACATACATACATATATGTATATAGAATCACAGTTAATGTAACTTTTTAAAATATGTTAGTGAGCATATTTATGTTAAGTTCCTTACAGATTGTTAACTTCAACCGGGTTCGAACCTGTGACTATTGACGTCCCTGTGATCACTGTTGTGCCCTCTGTTAAGCAAGCGTCTTTACCACTGCCCTGGCGACATATGCAAGCCATTACTGATAAGTTTAGAGGATTAGCTGTGTCTTGCATTCGTTTGCAATGGCTCATATTTATTTTAAGAAATGTCAAATATCATTGAAAAGGCATTCTTAATATTATAAACAAATAGTATATGGATTTCCCATCATTAATACCGCTTTCGGTCGAGATACTGTTCTGGTTGAGTTTCGAACTCACGCAAACATGCGTTTCAGGCAGTCAGTGCAGACGTCTGGCCAGTGTAAAGCGAATAGATTGATAAGCGTGCCTTGAGTGACGCATGAGGATGCGAGTTCGAGGCCCAACTAGGTTCTAATTTTTAATTTATTTTTTAAATAGTTCATAAAACTACTGGAAAAGTATGTTTAGTTTCTTAAACAATTTAAACGGTAATAATAATAATTAATTAATAATTATTAATCTATTACTTAAAATGTTCAAGAAATTATGCTAACTCAAACTTAGTTTAGCACACTTTAAATTGCATCCACATGCACTTCTCTCAGTGTATGTTGTCTAGTTGTTATTTAGCTTAAGCACATTCCAAAAAAAGGCTTAAAAGCTTGTACACATATTCATTTTTTGGGGGTCCCGTGAGTTGCTGTTGTTGCTGTTGTTGCGGCCGTTGTCCTGCGACTTGGGCCGCGCCTAATGTTTGCTACTGAATATTTCAGTTAACCAGCGACAATGACAACAAAAACAACAAAAACAACAACAACAACAACGGCAAATGCCTCTCATGCGTGCAAGTTAAGTGCTTAAAGCATTTAGCCTAACGATTTTGGCTTTTAATTTGCACTTTCAGCTAACAGCGGTGAGCAGAGCCCGGAGCGCGGAGGCCGGGTACAGGAGGCGTGTCACGTATTTATTTAAGCAAATTGCGCAAAAATATTAAAGCAGGCGAAAAACTGAAAATAATGCGTGTGCCTGCCAGAGCAGCTGCCGAAAGCAGGCAAAAACCTTTTTACAACTTTTCTAGAGCCACAAAGTGAAAAAAAAAAAAACTGTTAAGCAGCAGCCCCGCCCACATATAAATAAGGCCAAAAAGGCAGCAAAAAAGGCGCAAAGAAAACAAGGGCGGAAAGCGCAAAATAAAGTCATCACAAACATATTAGCAGCGAAAAACACCTGAGCAAATAGATTTATATGCACGATAAAGCACAGAGTAATTTCCCTTAGATCCTGTCGCCTGTGCTCCCAGTGCTCCCCACCTCCTGCCCGACGCCAAGTGCAGCACATTTGCCACTCGGCCTGGCGCTCGCCTGTTGCCTAAGCCACAAAATAGCTGGGGCCCAAGATAACATCACTTTATTGTAAGAAAGTTAAAACACAGAAATGCAAGCCAAAGCCAAAGCCAGAGCCAAAGCCAAAGCCAAAGCCAAGTAGCCCAAAACGGTAACTGCGTGTGGCTGTCTCCCTCTCACTCTATCTCTCCTACTCGCACTCTTCCTCTCTCTCTCTCTCCCTCTATCTGCCATCCCCCACAGTGTGCGTGTGAGCAGGCACTTAAAAAAAATGCCAAATATAAAAATGCCGACACATGCTCCAAGCCAAAAATCATACAGATAAATGTGAGAAATTCTATATGCTCTACCTAAAGATATATATGTTATGCTTTATATATCTAAATAAAAGCTACTTTAAAGTCCGAAATACTAGTATTATTTTAAAAATTACTTCAAAATTAAAAATTACCTATTATTTGCTTAGCCATTATTTGATGTTGATAATTTCCTTTCTTTTATTCATGGACAGTTAAAAGTATATTTCCCATTATTATCATAAATTGCCAATGAATTGCAAACCTAGCTTTCATTCGAGGTGCTGCATATATTTGAATTGTTAGCATATGTATGTATCAACTGTTAACATAATATGATAACATGATTAGCAACTGTTAAAATATATGGCTACTGTAAAAATGTACTCAAGCTGTTAAATATTAACTGTGGTCAAAAGCTGTTACCGAACAATATGCAATAGCTAAGCGACTCTAATGCAGTGTATATCTAACAGAGCGTATAAAAGTTTTTCGATGTCATTTTGGCATTGGTTTACGAGCGACTTCCTTTTGTTGGGTGTGAAATTATCAAAATTTACTTGAAGACGCGCTAGGTGGAGGTGGAGCTCGAATTCGAACTCGAACTCGAAATCCCATGAGAAGCTGCTAACAATAAGGCCAGGCGGCCATGGGAGTTGAAGCTGCAACATGCAACTGAACGTGCAGCACGTGCTGCAAGCATGTGACACTAGGGCTATCCGCGAGAGAGAGAGAGAGAGAGAGAGACAAAGTGGTAGACGGAGAACGCATAAAGTTCTACGAGGCGAGGTCAGCCCAGGCCATTAGCAGCTAAAATGCTTGACAAATAATTAGGAAGGCAAGAAGAAGAAAATAATAAAAATAAAATAAAAATAGCGTAGCTCGAAGGACACATGAGTGATGACCACTATCGAAGGATGTGGTCATGTATATATAGAAGGGGATATATCACACAAATTGGCATTGCTCAACATGGAAGTCAAGTGGCTTTTGGCTTTTTGCTGTCAAAGATTTGTCGCGCACAAGTAGCAGAAAAAGAAGAAGAAGAAGACGAGCCAGCGAGGCAGTAGCTGAAAAAAAGTTAATTGCAGTTAATGACGACATTAATCACAAGAAAATGAAGCCCAGCGCCGTTGACAATAAGCGCCAAGCGACAAATGAAGAGCCAGCGACAGAGACAGACAAGGGGGCAGACGGGAAGAGGAGAGAACAGAAGAGAACAGAAGAAGAGGCGTCTATTAACACCGATACCCAGATACACTTTGTGCACTACAAAGGCAATGTGGGCAGCTAGGAAGCTGGGAGTTGGGTGGGCGTGGCGCAACAAGCGAACAGAACAACAGGATGCGAGTAGGAAAAGCAATTTCACTGCGAGCTTCCT